AGGTGTGTTTGTTTGGAACGTTCCACTTGAGAATCCAGATTTCCCACTCTTCTTGGAAAAGTGAACAAGCTGGCGAGAGTAGGTTTGGATTCTCCCAAGGGCACAGAACAGCTGCTGCCTTCTGAAGGCCAAGGTGGGTGTCTTGTTCTGCCAAAGCTGCCAACATGCCTACTGTCATGTCCTCACCCAGTTGTCCCTGTTGGAGACTGCTCCACTTACCCATGTTACATTTGGACCAAATGTTCCAAAGCCAAAATTCTGTATTTAATGATCTTTCAAACTCATTTTGGAATCTCATATCTCTTTATAAACAACAATAAGCCGGGCGGAGCAGTACTCGCCTATAATCCCAGCCCCTTGGGAGGCTGAGACAGGGTGATCATGAGTTCAAAGCCAGCCTCAGCAACAGCAAGGTGCTAAGCAACTCAGTGAGACCCTGTCTCTAAATAAAATACAAACTAGGGCTGGGGATGTGGCTCAGTGGTCGAGTACCCCTGAGTTCAATCCCCAGCTCCCCCGCCAAAAAAACCCAACAAAACATATATATGTGTGTATATAAGTATATATATGTACACACATATATGAATTAAGACAGAGAGAGACTCATCTTAATATCTGTTGTGATATGGGAGTTCAAAGAAGTGTAAAGCCAGGCATGGTGGCCCAGGCCTATAAACCCAGCTATTCAGGAGGATCACAAGTTCAAGGCCAGCCTCAGCAACTTAGTGAGGCCTTAAGCAACTTAGCAAGATTCTATTTCGAAATAGCAACAACAACAACAACAACAAAAGAGCTGGGAATGCAGCTCAGTGGTAAAGCACCCCTGAGTTAAATCCCCCATACCAAAAAAAAAAAAAAAAAAAGGACGGTAAGATTTCTTCTGCCATAGGGGGAGAACCTGGACAAAGTGGCCTTTGAGCTGGCCTTGACTCTACAGAGGCCAAGGATGAGAGTATCCCAAGTGACAAAACCAGTACAGGAAAGGCCCATGGTGGGAACTGTGCTGTATGAACTCTGTCTCAATAGGCACATTTTTATTTCCCAGAATATGAAACTCATATCGCTTCAGAAGAAAGAAAGAAAGAAGGAAGGAAGGAAGGAAGGAAGGAAGGAAGGAAGGAAGGAAAGAAAGAAAGAAAGAGGGTTTAGCTCTGAAAGCATTCCTGTTAATACCTGGGGAGCTGCGGTTCTCAGCGTGGGATCCCTGCACCAGTGCCAGCACAGCACAGGGGAGCGGCTCTGGGCTGGGGTCAGCGCTCTGTCTGAACAAGCCCTCTGGTGATCCTCATCCACAGGGAAGCTTGAGGAGCTCTGCCATGGAGAATATCTGGTGACAGGTGGCTTTTAGGAAGGATGATGGGGTTGCCAGATGCAAATGGTGGGGGGAGCTAAGGGTTTTATAGTCGTACCGGTGCCTGTATCACCTATTCAAAAATATAATGAAATAATATGTTCAATTCCCTTTCCTGCCCACCTACTTCTCTCAAGCCCTATAGCTGCTCCAACACCGCCCTCCTCCAACTGCCTTCTCTCCCCCACACAACCTGGGTTTTCTTTGCTTCTCCATTTCTCTTCATTGTTCTGCTAGACCTAACAATGATTGAAGAGGAGAGAAGGAGAAATTGAGCCAACAGAATTCTGCTTCTCGAGTAGGCAGGTAGTCTGCACATTCAGCCATGCTAATAATTTCAGCTGAGCCCACCTTAGTTAAGAAATTAAGAAAAGACTGTCTTGCTGGGTGAGGTGGCACATGCCTGTAATCCCAGCAGTTCAGGAAGCTGAGGCAGGAGGATGGAAAGTTCAAAACCAGCCTCAGCAACTTAGTGAGACCCTGTCTCTAAATGAAATATAAAATAGGGCTGGGCTGGGAATGTGGCTCAGGCAGTAGCGCGCTCGCCTGGCATGCGTGCCGCCCGGGGTTCCATCCTCAGCACCGCATATCAACAAAGATGTTGTGTCCGCCAAGAACTAAGAAATAAATATTAAAAATTCTCTCTCTCTCTCTCCTCTCACTCTCTCTTTAAATAAATAAATAAATAAATAAATAAAATAGGGCTGGGGATGTGGTTCAGTGGTTAGGTGTCCCTGGATTCAATCCCTGGTACAAAAAAGGAGCCTGTCTCTAGCCTCTTTTCAGTTACTCATTATATAATTTTTTTCTTTTCTTGTGCTTTCTTTGTTTCGCTCTCTTCCTAACTCAGCTCTCAGAGGCCTCAATACTAATCCTAATTCCATCTGCGTAGAAACTAAGAAGAGGTTTGTCCAGGGCCTGATGCTGGAGCAAGAAGGACCCCATCCCCCCAAGCAGGTTGCCTATGTCCCAAAGGCAGCCATATGGAAAGGGATAAAGCAGTAAGGACACATGTCCAAGGAAGCAGAGAGCAAATGCCCATGGTGCCACAACTCCCAGAGGCTCAGATACTTTTGCTGAGCCAGTGAGCACCTGCAGCTTGTGGTCTGATACTAAGCTTACAGATGCCACTTCAACCCAAGAGATCCAGTGCATATAGTGGTTGCCAACTCCTGTGATGTAGATTTTCATACCATGGCCAATTTCAAATTACCACTGCAGTCACTGAGCCACAGCTGGAAAGAGATCCACATGCTGATTACTGAGCTTTGGAGAGTGCAGAGCCCCTGCACCGCTTGGCCCAGAATCACCTGCTGATTGGGACCAACCTGTATCGTGCCAAGTGAGTGATCTCTAGGTATCACCTTCCAGTCTTCAAATAGCATATAACAAGTCTTTTCCCTGAGGCCTTTGACTTACATTTGTTAAATTTTGTGTTATTGGGCCAGCTAATTTATTGGGTTTTCTGAGAACTATAAAAGAAATCAGCATTTATTATAGTTTTTCCTTTTCCAGGATCAGTGAGTCAGGGCAGGATCAGAAGAGGAGTCCCTTGTAGAAAGCTGGACATTACTCATGCCTGTCACAGTGCTAGCCAAATAGATATGTTATTATTACTGATCTTCTTAACCACTGACATTTATAACATGACTGCTTTCTGCCAGGCCCTGGCTGTTTCACACCAGTGTCTCGCCCAGTTCTTTCAATAGCTCCAGGTTGTGGGAAGTGGTCACATGTATTTTGTCCCTGAAGATAACACACATCACTATTTTATGCTTCCTTATGAAAGAAAGAGATGCCAATTATTTGACACAAGGATTTCTTAGCACTTAGGACTTTTGTTTTTTACTTATTGAAAGAACTCTTGTAGATTGAGACAGAAATGTTTGCCACACATCATTCTTGTGCCCAGATAAAAGGGAAAATCCAAGTAAACTTCAGTTGTGAAGGTAGCGTCCACACTTTCTCACATTTAGGGCCCACTCTTGTGATAACTCTTGGACCACAGGTATTAATCAGATCCAGGTTTGCCAACAACATTGCTGGCTGTGAAGATTGTTGGTGACACAGTGTAACTAAAAAGTGCCCTGCTGCCAGGTGTGGTGGTGCACTCCTATAATCCCAGCAGTTCTGGAGGCTGTGGTAGGAGGAGGATTGTGAGTTCAAAGCCAGCCTCAGCACTTTATCAAGGCCCAAAGCAACTTAGTGATACCCTGTCTCAAAATATAAAAAGGGCTGCAGATGTGTCTTAGTGTTAAAGCGCACCTGAGTTCAATTCCCGGTATTAAACAAACAAACAAACAAACAAAAAACAGCGAGATGGTGCACACATCCCAGTGCTTGGAAGGCTGAGACAGGAGGATTGCAAGTTCAAAGCCAGCTTCAGCAAAAGTGAGATGCTAAGCAATACAGTGAGACCCTGTTTCTAAATAAAGTACAAAATAGGCCTGGGATGTGGCTCAGTGGTCCAGTGACACTGAGTTCAATCCCTGGTACCTACCCTGCCTCTAAAAAAACAACAACAAAGCACCACTATCTCAGGAGTTTTCTCCCAGGTCACTGGCTCCCCACATAACTTTTTTTCTTTTTGTACGGAGGATTGAAACCAGGGGGCCTTAACCACTGAGCCACATCCTCAGTCCCTGTTTTTTTAAAAATATTTTTTTTAGTTGTAGTTGGACATAATCCCTTTATTTTATTTATTTTTTTTTATGTGGTGCTGAGGATTGAACCCAGCGCCTCCCACGTGCTAGACGAGTGCTCTACCGCTGAGCCACAATCCTAGCCCACCTCAGCTTTTTTTTTTTAAAAAAAAAATATTTTATTTAGAGACAGGGTCTCACTGAGTTGCTTAAGGCCTTGACAAGTTGCTGAGGCTGGCTTTGAACTTGTGATCCTTCTGCCTCAGCCTCCTGATTATAGGTGTGCGCCACTCTGCCCAGCTAATTTCCCCCATAGCTTTTGATGTGCAACCCAGGCAGGGGCAACTCCGTCACAGCTGCCACCAGACTGACAGACATCCCAGTTTTAAGAATGTTTAGCTGTGAAAGAGTTGTATCTTAGAGTCCTTGAGAGATAGCCACTTGACTTATTCCCATTTTTGAGATGAGGCTTAGGAAGGTTTAAGAGCCTCCAGAATTGTGAGATATACCTTTTTATTACTAAATGACTCAGTTTAAGGTATTTTGTTATAATAGCAGGAATGGACCAAGACTTTGTTAATAGGCACAGTTTCCTTTTAGGGTGATGAAAATGTTCTGAAGTTAGAGAGGCATTATGGTCATACATATTGTGACTCTGCTAAAAACCACCAAGTTATACACTTTCTGTTTTGATAATTATATCTCAGATTTTAAAAATTATTTTTTTATAAAAGAACTGATTGATTTCTCCAACCACAGTCCTTGGGATAATGAAGATGTAACTGGTCGCCTGTCAAATGGAAAACACTGATGTGGACTGACCCTGCTGGTGGCAGTGACACAAAGGCTGAGCTTTTAAAACTCACATTCTGTGTGATCTACAAGGACCTCATGAAAGCAGTGTTTGTTTCCATGCCTTACCTCCAGTCACTTGCCATATTTTGATAATGCTCTAAATTACAGGACCCAGAACTGGTCTTTAATTACAGAGTGCTTTAATAGGGCTTGCTGGCAAATACCATAGAATTACAGGAGCCACTAATGAAATACAGCATCGTTTTATCTGTTCTCCGATGGCAGCCTTTAAAACACAATTAGTACCATGCAAGATATTTATTCAGGATTTTATCTCATGTATTCATTCCATCTCCAAATGAGTGTTACATTTCCAACTGTCTTTTACTCCTTCACAGAGTATTTTCTCATTTTCAATCCACTCTTTCTTTTCTTTCCTATTGGACTCCAGAGAGCCAGAAGTCAGTGGACTTGGGAGCTGATTAAAGGAAGCAAAAAAAATCTTAAAGATTTTCACCCATCTTGTCCTCTGCTCTCCCCAGGCACGGATGGAGGGAGGGTTTAGCCCAAAGAATCATGGCATGTCCTGAGCTAAAACCCTCGTGGGCATTCAACCATTGCCTATAGGAAAGCAGCAAAACTCAGGAAATGTCCTGCCTGCCCTGCCTGGCCACTTCCCAAACACTTGGAGAGGACCAAGCAGCGGGCAGAGGAAGAGAAAGGAAAGCAGGTAAGTGAGCAGGCAGAGGTGGATCGCAAGCCTGCCCTTCACCCCACATAGCTGAGTGTTTTTAACCCGGGGTCTATGAGGACCTGTTTCTGTGGATACCCATGAAGGACGAAAATCCACGCTGCTGTGAACTGGCAGATAAAAGAGGAGGTCAAGGTGCAGAAAGGGCAATGAGAAAAAAAAATCATGTCCCTGGGCCACAGAATAGTAGCAACGGGTGGGGGGAGTCTTGGACTTTCCTCTGACTTTGGTCTCAATGTGCGCTGGGCGAGGGGAGGAATGTCAGCAAGAGTTCACGTAGATCTCCAGGGAGAAGAAGCCTCCACCTGAGTTATAGTGGAAGACAGAATAAGGTAAGTGGGCAGCACTTGTGGGTGATAGAAACGAGGAAGACGCTGGTGCTGCAGGTGATGGACACACAGAGTGGCATCACCCGCTCCTCATCTTGGGGATCCATAGTCTTATTGCTGAACTGACATTTGGAGACACCTGCATTGAGGTATTTCCAGGATAATGCACTAGGAGCCCCCTCTGTGTGTTGAGGACATTGTTTAGCACCGTGTTGACAAGACAAGCCACAGTGAAGGGTCAAATCCCTGTAAGTGTCAAGGACAGCCATCAGACTCCAGGGACCAGATCTCGTTGTGGTGCTTTCTAAAGAGGTAGAGCAGGCAAAGATGGCCCTCTCCTCTCTGCAGGCAACCAGAGCAGGGGCAGACCCTTTTCCCCAAGCCAGCTGTGTGGATGTCCTCTTCTCCCAGTAGCAGCAGCCCCAGGCAGAGGAGGAAGTGCCAGCATCTTGCCCTGGCACTGCTGGGGACCATTAGGTCGTGTGTGGGATGGGGGACTCCAGCTGGGACCATGGGCCATGAAACAGAGCACTCCTCCCAGGTTGCTTAGGTCTGACTTAGAAGCAGGGCTATGCTAGCAATCAAAATCCAGCTCCCCAGGAGTAGGACCCAGCCCCAGATCATTGTGTCACAAATGTTACCTGTCATTTGCTGGTTATAGCCTTCTTCCTTGGGAACCTCATGGTAACAACCATTTGGGGTTCAATCCCATTTTCTTGTTGATTGCGTGGCCTTGGGCATGTTCAGTCACCTCTATGCCTCAGTTTCCTTATCTATAAAATGGGAGTAAGGCTATTGTGCTAAAGAGTTTATATACACAAAGCACTTTGGGGCCAGGGGCAGAGTGCATGCCTATCTATAATCCCAGTGACTCGGGAAACAGAGGCAGGAAAATTGCAAGTTTGAGGCCAGCCTCAGGAACTTATTGTCTCAAAATAAAAAGGACTGGGAATATGGCTCAATGGTAGTTTCCCTGGTTCAGTCCCCAGTATCAGGCCAAGCAAAATAAAACAAAAAAAGCACTTTGGGGCCATACTTGGTTCACAGCTAGTGTGACTTTGTTCACAGCTGTGTGTCCCCCTCTGCCTAAGGCCCTGCCCCTGTGGGAATGTGACACTGAGTGTTCCATCCCTTCCCCTCAACCACAGTCTTGTTGCGGTGGGCAGCACCCCTATTCATTCAGTTGAGCAAACCACAAGCCAGTGGTCACCCTCGACCCCCTCTTTTGATGCCCACAAAATGTCATCAGGCTTATCAACCTTACTAACGGCTTTAAAACCATCCAGGTCTGTTCCACTTCTCCTTCTCTTCAGCTTCTCATCAGAACTAGCCCAGTACCCCCCCAATTACAGCCACTCCCCCATAGCAGCCCATTTCCACCCTGGACTGTGATGCTCTGAAGTGCTGATTTGATCTTGTCACCCCTTGCTCCCTGCCCACCCCATGCCTAAAACCTCTTCATGACTTCCCACAGTTCTCGGAGTGAAAAACCAAAATCCTAACACCAGGCAGACTGAGCCAGTTGGGCTGTTTCTTGGCCCTGAGGATCAGGAAATCCTAACAAACCAGGTTTAAAACTGAAGGCAATTTATTAGCTCCCTGGATCAGGGTTCTAGAAATAGTCTGCTATTTGCTGGGCTCTGCCTCCCCACCTAGGCACTGGCTTTATCCAGTGCCCAGCTAGCTCCATTCAATCAACATCAAGTGGAACACTTCCAGAGGAAAAAGGAGAACACATTGTTCAGCCATGAAATAAAATCCCTTCCCTTTAGCCTGAGGGAGCCGACTGAGGCCTTGTGCCTATTCCCAGCCCAAACTTCCTAGTGACATGGCACACATTGAGTCCTTCCTTCCTTCCTTTTTTTTTTTTTTTTTTTTTAACTCCTGGTGGAACATGGGTCCTTTAGTGCAAAAACAGATTCAAATCGTTCTAGAAGATACAGTTGTAATTAAGAACAGAAAGGTCAGGGGATGTGGCTCAGTGGTAGAGTGCTTGCCTAGGACGTGTGAGGGCCTGGGTTCCATCCCTAGCACTGTAAAACTAATAACAGTAAAAAGCAGGAAAATTTCTTTAATAATGCTCAACTCTGAAAAACAGGAAAGAACTAAAGCTCCCCACTATCCTGGAGGATAGATCTGGGACCAGAGGTCCCCAGGGCCTTGACCTCAGGGGTGAGATGGCAAGAGCAGAGGGTTGGAGCATGGGGTAAGGACAGGAATCAAGGAGCTAGTGACCTCACAGGGGATGGAGAGGGTGGAATGGAGACACAAAGCAGGGCTGCAGGCTCTTGGTCACACTGGCTGGGCTTTCAGTCTGCCCGTTATCTTTCTGGAAGCGAACTCAGCCTGCAGATGGACTAACAGTAGAGATTTGAACGGGTATGTGTGCAGCAATGCTCATAGCAGCACGTGATAGCCAACAAGAGGAGACAACCAAAATGTCCATCCATGGGTGCATAGATGATTTGTTACATATTTTATAAGGAACTAGAGAGAGAAAGGAGGGCATGGTGGGGTGCACCTGTAATCCCAACTACTCAAGAAGGCTGAGGTGGGAGGATTGCTTTAGCTTGGAAGTCCCAGATCAGGTTGGGCAACCGAGCAAGATCCTGTCTAAAAGCAAAACAAAACAAAATTAAAAAGGAAATAAATTCTGATACCTGTTACAACATGGATGTTGTACTTTGAAGATGCTGTACTAAGTGAAAAAAGCCAGACACAAAAAGACAAATATTGTATGATTTCACTTATATAAGCTGCCAAGATAAGTCCATTTCATAGAGACAGAAAGAAGAAGGGTAGTTGCCAGGTGCTGGGGTGGGCACTTAGGCACAGGAGTCAAGTATAAAATGACTTTGAAGTTCTGGAGCTGGTGGGCTGGGTGCTGTGGCACACACCTATAATCCCAGGGGCTCAGCAGGCTGAGGCAGGAGGATTACAAATTCAAGACCAGCAGAAGCAACTTCATGAGACCCTGTCTCAAAATAAAATAAAAGGCCAGGGGATGTGACTCAGTGGTAGAATGCTTGTCTAGCATATGCTGGGCCTTGAGTTCAAGAACAAGGCAAAAACAAAACCAAACCAGGTGTAGTGGCTCACGCCTGTAATCCCAGCAACTCAGGAGGCTGAGGCAGGAGGATTGTGGGATCAAAGCCAGCCTCAGCAACTCAGCAAGACCCTGTCTCTAAACAAAATATAAAAATCAGCTGAGGGTGTGACTTATAGGTTAAGCATCCTAGGTTCAATCTCTGGTACAAAAAAAAAAAAAAAAGATCAGGAGATGGATGATGACCGTGGTTGCACAACCATGTGAATCAACTTAATACCACTGCATTGTACTGTTAAAAAAGTTAAAATGAGAGGCTGGGATTGTGGCTCAGAGGTAGAGTGCTCCCCTAACATTTGGGAGGCCCTGGGTTCAATCCTCAGCACCACATAAAAATAAATAAATAAAACAAAGGTATTGTGTCCAGTTACAACCAAAAAAATAAATATTTAAAAAATTAAAATGATACAGTTTGTGCTACTTATATTTTACCACAATAAAGAGCATGGATAAATACAGCTCACTTTTCCAGGCATGAGGACAAGACGGTGGAGCAACTGGAGATTCCTAAGGAATGATTGATAGATTGGTGAACTTGGATGAAAGACACTTTTATTCCCCCTTTGGTACAAGGGATTGAACCCAAAGGCTTTTTACCACTGAGTCACATGCCCAGTCTTTTTTATTTATTTTTTATTTGAGACAAGGTCTCACTCAGCTGCTCAGGGTCTTGCTAAATTGCTGAGGCTGGTCTTGAACTTGTGATCCTTCTGCCTCAGCCTCCCAAGTAGCTGGGATTATAGGTGTGAGCCACTGCATTGGGCCTAAAGACACATTTTTTTGTGTGTGAAATTTCAATCAGATGATGACGAGGACGATGATGAATAATACCCCCAGGCCTTCGGAGCCTGGAGCTCTGAGGCAGGCCAGCCATCTGTGTGAGAGTAAGCTCCTCCCTGTCACCCCTGCAGAGACTGATCCTTGGCATCACCCAGACGCCCCCCCCCACCACCAGTCCACACAGGACTGAGATGGTTTCCAACTTCTGTTCTCTGCAGGAGGAGACAGGAGAAGAGCAGGAGAGGGGAATTTCCTTTGGCAGGGCAACAAAACCCTGTGAGGAGACGGAGCTGTCCCTATTCTGAATGGAGGATCTCTCTTTCAGACCTTGTTTTCTGAGTTGTCCCCTCCCCCCTCCCCCCTACTGCCAGCGGGATGATGGAACAGCTGTCACCAGTTGGGTCTGACTCATTAGTTTATCATCTCTCCCTACCCCTTCCCCAGCCCCCTCTCTCCAAACCCACCCACCCTGAAAATGCCTGAGCACAGTCTACTATTTTAAGAACTGAATTCCCTGTCGGCATGGCAACTTCACACTCTACCTCTTACCAGTTGCTGTCGGGATGGAAGCAAAGCTACCTTTCCCTGGGGCTCCAGCCAGCCTGCGGCAGAGGGCAGACCAGCCAGACGATGCACTTGGACATCTCTGGCACATCTTCTTTGTGTATTTGCTTGCTGTACAACCTTTACAAATGGAAAAAAAAAAATTCTTAGTGTGCTGGGCATTCAGAAACAGAACTCTGGGTCCAGAGAACTAGCTCAAGGAGCACAGGTTACCCAACCTGGATCGTAGGACAGTGCAGCGGGTTTTCATACTTGCTGTGTGTTTCTCATTGTGGAAGTTTGAAAGGTTGAGGGAAGAGAGGAGGCTGCTGGGAGAAAGGTGTGAAGAGGGCTCTGGAAGAAAGACAATGTGATTGATTGATTTCTCCCAAATCTAAACATTTTTATTATACCCTAAAGCTTTATTTATTACTACTATAATGCACCAATAAAAATATGGGGAAAAAATGAAGAATCAATAATTAATAATAATAATAACAATAAGCCAGGTGCTGTGGTATATATCTGTAGTTCCAATGACTTGGGAGGCTGAGGAGGATCACAAGTTCAAGGCCAACCTCAGCAACTTAGCAAGGCCCTGAAAAACTTAGCTAGAACCTGTCTCACAATAAAAAAAATTAAGGCCGGATATGGTGGCACATGCCTCTAACCAGCTTAGGAGGCTGAGCCAGGAGGATAGTTCAAAGCCAGCCTCAGCAATGCCAAGGCACTAAGCAACTCAATGAGACCCTGTTTCTAAATAAAATATAAAGTAGAGCTGGGGATGTGGCTCAAAGATTGAATGTCCTTGAGTTCAATCCCTGGTACAAAAAAAAAAATTAAAAAGTGTTGGGGATGTTGCTCAGTGGTTAAGCACCTCTGGGTTTAGTCCCCAGTACCAAAATAAAAACAATAACAACAACAACAATTGATTTATGTTCTTCAAAGGCTTTAAAATTAAAGTCTTAAGCCAAGTTATCCTCCCATTCCCCAAATAAGGATTGAGGTTTATAATTTATGGTTTTCATTTGTAGAAAGTGGCTTTTATTTCATAACCTCTCCTAATTCTTCAGAAGACCAGCTTTTCTTCAGAAACATTGAAAGAAAATCTTGTTTTGGATGTTCCTTTCTTTTTGTTATTTATATATTATTATAAATTTTTGACCACCACTCCCCCCATCAGGGTAGAATCCAGGGCCTTGTATATGTTAGGCAAGCACTCTGCCACTGAGCTATATCTCCAGCCCTGTTTTGTATTTTATTTAGAGACAGGGTCTCACTGAGTTGCTTAGTGCCCTGCTTTTGCTGAGGCAGGCTTTGAATTTGCGATCCTCCTGTCTGAGCCTCCTGAGCCACTGGGATTACAGATATGGGTCACCGCACCCAGTAGTTGTAGAAATTTTTAAAGCATGTACAAAAATAGGAAGACCAGAGCCTGGGGTTGTCGCTCCGTGGTAGAGCACATGCCTTGCACATTTGATCCTCAGCACCACATAAAAATAAAGGTATTGCATCCATTTACAACTAAAAATTTTTTTTAAGTAGAAAGACTAATCGGTGTCTTGTACTTTATAATTCTGATTTGTTTTTAAAGGGCATTTCTGTGTAAATTAAAAAAAATAGCTTGAACCTCCTTAAAACATAGTTTGAATGAGGGAAGCAACACCTTTGCAAATGATATCTGTATAGAATCCAGTCCTGGGTTGCTCTTGAAAGTGATTTCTGGGGGTGGTGATGGGGGTGCCGGTTGGAAGAACATCTGTAGGAAAAGAAGAGGGGACCACTCTTTGATGGTTCCCATGGAAACCACAGGGCTCAAGATGGTTGAGATGGGATGGTCGCATTCCTTCTAATGGACTCTGGGGACACTAAGCAACTCAGTGAGACCCTGTTTCTAAATAAAATATAAAGTTTCCCTGCAAGGATACCTCACTGTCTCTGAATTCTCCTTCCCTCTCCCAATAACGTTATCAGTTTGGAGGTATCTTTACTCTGAGTGTCTACGTTCTGATTAAAAGAGAGACAACTTTGAGGTTTTCTTCCTCAATCTTAGGGCTTACTTTATTTTTCGTTAAGAAGGCTACAACGTGTTCATCTGCATATACACTTTGAGGAGTTCTGGAATCTTATAGAAGAACACTTGGCCCCTAAATGGCTGGAATAAAGTCATGAGGGCTTGAGTATTGATCCTCACATCAGAATATTGAACTTATAACCCGAATTTATAAACTGACATGTGCTTTGGGAGAACAGGGTATCCAGCCTAAGCTGAGGAGAGACAGAGGATCCGGACACAGTTTTCCCTCCCAAAAGAACTTGACCTCAGGGTAGAGTATCCATCAGTGGGCAATGTCCAGGGTTCCTTCTATTGCCAGGTTCTTTGCTGTAGGGAATATCAGTATTAGAAGTGAAACTTTGGCCTGGTGTTGCCCCGCTTGGGTCCAATATACACCACTTACAGTAGATGCCAGTTAGCCCCCAGTCTCTAGCAGTCATCCGAGGTCCAAAAGTATGAATATGAATATCAGTCTTGACTCTCTCACACTTTGTTCATATAACTTTTATTGTAGTACATTGACATGACTGTTCTATTTTATTATTGGTGATGGTTGTTAATTTCTTACTGCACCTAATTTATTAACTATCATGTATGTAATATGGGAGGAAAACAGTATATATGTAGTTATATACTATCCACAGTTTCAGGCATCCACCAAAGGGAGCGTATCTCCTCCCCAAAAGGGAGCACTACTGTACTATTTCTGTGTATCACCTACAAATGGGGCCTAGCCCCCAGAAAGGGCAGGTACAGAGGCAGAGGCAGGCTGAAATTAGTCATCAAAAGACCAACGTGTGCTGGCTGCCATGGCGCACGCCTGTCATCCCAGCAGATCGGGAGGCTGAGGCAGGTGGATCTCATGTTCGAAGCCAGCCACCCTGTCTCTAAATAAAATATTTTTTAAAAAAAAGGGCTGGGGATGTGGCTCAGTGGTTGAGTGCCCCTGGGTTCAATCCATGGTAGGAAAAGACGGGGCGGGGAGGGGAGGAGAGATAGAGAGAGAAAGAGACTTGCTCACAGGTACAGGCAGGAGGTAGCTCAGGACCTAACTGTTCCTCAGGATGAAGGGTGCTGGATGATGAGATGCTGGGTTTGAGATCTTGGTGCGTGGTAGGCAGCTCTGGGGGAAGAAGACTGCGTGGGAGAGAGACTACCACCAGGTGGCGCGCGCGGTCGAATCTCGGAAATCTGGGGCTTTGAGAAGCAGGAGTGAGGTGGGCTAAATACCTGTTGGTGGTAACCTGGGCACACCTCTTCCCCTAAGATGGGACTGGCAAATAGCAGTTATAGGTGTCTCACGAGTAACTGCTGACCTTTTGCCTTCAAACCCAGAAGTTCTTTGAAACCCCTTACCTCCCCAGCTGTCTGGAGCCTCTGACCCTATTCTGTGTTTTCTGAATAGAGAAAAGTGAAGCCATCTCGCTATGGGAGGAGGCGAAATGGGGCAGTGATTCTCAAGCATCTTTATATACTTAAACATTAAACGTTATTGAGAACCTCAAAGAGGTTTTTGCTTGACTATGTGGGTTGTACCTCTCAATATTTACCAATTTAGAAATTGGGAATTGAAAACATATTTATTTCTTACAATAACAAACCCACTACATGCTAACTTAACATTTCTGTCGGTTTGTTTAGAAAAATAACTATTATGCAAAACAAAAAGAGTATGAAGTTTGGCACTGTTTTACATTTCTGTTAGAAAAAACAAAAAAGTGTCTTATTTGGTATGGTGGCTACATACCTGTAATCTCAGTGACTCTGGGAGACTGAGGCAGGAGGATCTCAAGTTCCGGGACCAGCCCCAGAAACTTAGCAAGGCCCTCAGCAATTTAGACTCTGTCTGAAAATAAAAATAAATAAATAAATAAAAGAGGTCTGGGGATGTGGCTCAGTGGTTAAGCACCTTTGGGTTCAATCCCTGGTACCAAAAAAAAAAAAAGTGTCTAGATTAATAAATACAGATGGAATCTCCTATCTGGCATTTAGTCTGTTGTGATAACAGACTGAGTTTTCCCAAAGCACTTAGCTTTGTACACATGTGAGAGAATGGGAGTAGAGAAGGCAAATACCATCTAATTATGACAATACTTTTGACTTTGCATACCCTGCTCATTTTGATATTAGATGGAATATGAATGGCATTCCATTTTATTTTTGGATAAGAATTGAAATGATTTTTTTGGGGGGGGGAGGGAGGCTGCTTTTGGTGAGGGCTGAGGGTTGAAAGTCAGTCTGCACTGACATTTACCTACCAGCAAAGATGTAGCCTCCACATCAATGGGGCTAGAAAACAGGGTCTCTGCTGGTGTAGACACACGTGTAGATGTCATTCACATCCTATGAGTATAAGAATTCTCTCACAGCCAACTTGTTCGTACCCGCTGTCCCTGCAGAATTGAGACTGGCAGAATGGTGACCAGAGGCCTGTAGGAGGCTTATTTCCCCAGTGTGTGTGTATGTGTGTCTGTCTGTCTGTCTTATTTTTCTCACTCAGATACCCTGCTGATGTTGGGCCCAATTTGGGAGTTCTCATCAATTTAAAAATACTTGAACACAGTGGCCCCAGCATTTACACACCCCTAGGCCTGCTCTGGGAGTCTGTGCAGAATGCCCTGGTCTGAATTAAGAGGCAATATGGGGAGACTTAAGTCTCCCAGAGTAACAGGTCAGAAAAGTCTCTTATCAGTTAATTCCCTTCAAGGGCACCAGGCCAGAGTGACTATCAGAACCATCTAGAGAGCTTCCTAAGAAGAGCAATTCCTGAAGCCACCTCCTTAGATCAAGCAAGGGTGGAACCTAGTGGAGCTCCCAGCCATTCAGACACCCCAGGTTTGGGAGTCAGCTCAACAAAGCTCTTCCATTTTGGGGTACCTTGGAATCATCTGGGGGGCACATATTTAGAATTTTTGAATTCCCCAGGCCTACTCCCTAGAGAGCCCCAAAAGAGTATATTTGCAAAACAAAAGAGTATGAAGTTTGGCACTATTTCACATTTCTAGAGGCTAGGTAGGTCTGAGATGGGCCCTGGAACAAAATATTAAATAGCAGTCAAGTTAATTCTCCTGTAAACACCTAGGACCACCCTTTGATGGAAAGGCTTTTATAATTGGTTGTAACTAAGTAACCTTAGCCCAGCTCAGAATCAACACAATCTCAGCCTTACCTCCTTTGTCCTTTGAGAAATCAGACCCCATCCTGGGGGCCTAAATGTACACTCTGGGGATTCCAAGCCCCCTCTGATGAAGGTGATACCCTTGTCCCCAATTCCAGAACTACACACCGCAAGATCCCTTTCTTCTCAACTGCCTCAGGGTGAGTGCTCACTATGTCACTGTGGCCACATTCACCCACTCGCCTCCTTCCCACTTTTCTGCTGTCCTTCTAATGTAGGCATGGGCCATAGTGTTGATGGACGGATACACATCTCTCCTGCAAAAGCTAAGGTGAAGCAGAAAAAAAGAAAAAAAAAAAAAGGCAGACTATGAACTCAGCTTCTTCATACAGGAGCTTGGTTTCCACTCTCATTGGCAGGGGAAGCCTAGTCCCATGGTCTCAAAAGGACCCCTTTTCCCTCTGCACCTGCACCACCTCTAGCCACTGAATGGCCACTGGCTTGACTGGCTCAGATTTCTCTAACAGAACTCCTGGAGGTCCAGCCCCCAGGGGACAGCCCCCAGCCCCTGGAATCTGCTCTATAGTCTGCCACCCTCACCCTCAGGCTCTCATGCATTTATTCTGCAAGACATGTGCATCCACGAATATGGACTCATTTCATGAACTGGTTAAAGCAATAAGGTAAGATGAGTGGTTTTTCTTTCTTTCTTTTTTTTTTTTTCCAAGTATGTCTAAGCACACACAAACACACACTCAGGAATGGAAGTGGGTTTGTCCTGCCCCCTTTTCATCTCTGCTTGGCTCTGTCATTTTCCATGGTCTGAATTCCAGGTGAGCCATCAGCAGAATCTGGGGTTTCTTCTCTATCAGCTATCGAAGATTCAATTCTGGAGAAAATGCTGACTGTGCCCAGATCAGTGCTCTCTCCCAGTGCTGCTCATCCAAGCCACTCACTAGGCAAGTGAGTCTGGGCAAGTGAGTCTCACTAGGCATCTGGGGTCTCTGGGGGTTCACCTGGCTTCTGGTGACTGCAGTGGTAGCAGGGTTGAGGAGTGCTCCCTACTCCCAGTTCTGTGGAACATCTTCTCTTCTGCCCCCAGGAGTTGAATGGGTTTAGGAACTATCCAGAAGTGCTCTAACCCAAGGAAAAGAGAAACTAGGAACAAGGAAAAGAGGATCCCTGATCCAAAAGGCTTGAGATTAGAAGTATTTAGATTTTAGACTATTCCTGATTTTGGAATATTGGTGTAAATTTTACCAGTTGAGCATCCCTAATCCTAAAATCCAAAACCCCAAACTTTTTGAGCATCAAATCAATCATCAAAAACTTAAATTTCCACCAAGCCCGGTTATGCACCTGTACTTCAAACTACTTGGAAGGCTGGGGCAGGAGGATTGATTGAGCCCAGGAGTTCAAGGCCAGCCTAGACAACATAGTAAGATGTCATCTTTCAAAAAAAAAAAAAAAAGTTTCAAATTTCAGAGCATTTTGGATTTTGGATTTTTCTGTTAGGGATACTCAAACTGTATCAGAATGACCTCTTTGTTCATTCATTCATTATTTCATCATGCACTTATTGGGTACGTATCACACCAAGCTCTGGACTAAATATTAGATACTAGATTGAAGAAAAAATACTCACAAAGCTATAGGCCTCAGGGAGTACTGTGGGGGCACAGACATTAAGCTAACCATAGAGAGAGCACAGCTCATTCCTTAGGATCATGCCCACCCCATCTGGGCATGGGAGGGCTGCATGAGTAATGGAAGACATTTTTGGGAAAAGATATCCATCCACAGCAATTTCACCTATACATAGGAGGGGCATTTTCAAGGACCCAGGCCCCATGTCCTACGAACAGTAGCATTTGTTAAGCATGACATTTTACGTTCTTCTGTCATGCTTTATATGCTTTGTGGGAGGTGATGATGTCACACCCATTTTACAGACATGGAAACTGAAACACAGAGAAATCAATAAGCTCACCTAAATCCTGCAGGAAAAAGAGTCAGAAGTGAACCTCAGGTGTGTCTGACTTCAGACCTCTTTTTATAACAGCAAACTCGTCCCAGCTCTAGACAAACAGGCTTCCACGAAGGAACTGGCAAACACTGATGGGCCATTTGGCTGGTGTCTCCATGGGGCAGTGTAAATGCCAGGTACTACTGTCACTGATGCTGTCTTGAGGCTGTCAGTGCCAGCAGCCGTGGGAGGTTTAGAGAGCTGTGGACTGTGGTGCTAGTGGCCTTGGTAATAGGGGTGGGCCACTAGTCATCACTCCAGGGACACAGAGTCATGTGCTGGACACTGCCTAAGCACTTTGTACGGGTTGACTTATTTACTATTTACAACAACTCCCATTTTTTTAAGATTGGGAAACTGAGGCACAGGATAGTGAGGTAGATTTCCTGTGGTTTCATCCCTGGCACCTGCAGAGGTGGGATTGGAGCTCAAGTACTCTGACGAGCTTCTGTACATAAACACAATGCAAACTGCATGTCTTTGGTGCATCTAAGTGATGCAATATTTTTAAGTGAATTTCACTTTATTGGCAATGAGCCCCAAGACAGATTGAAAAAATGGATCCAAGACTGCAGCTCTTTCTAACAGGAGATGAGGTTCATTTGCCCACCCCTTCTGTTTGGCTTGGTCTTGTGACTTGCTTTGACCCAGAGAATGTGTGGCAGAAGTAAGGGTACATTGGTTCAAAGCCTGGGGCTCCAGAAACCTTATAGGTTCTGCACTTTCCAGCCTTCGAACTCTACTACCATCAGAAGACGCCACACAGGCCAGTCTGCTGGATGGGACACATGTGGCCCAGTCACCCTTCCACACCAGCTGACAGTGGACCAACCAGTCGATAATTGAATGAGGCCATCTTTAACCCTCCAATGACCTGCCAGCTTGCCACAGACAATCACCAAGTAGCAGAGGCAGTAGAAACCCTTTAGGAAGGGAAAAGAGGGACCAAGAGGGAAAAGTAATTAGACCTGCCTGGGTCCCTCAGAAGCCTGGCACCCCCACTTCTGGCTTTTGTCAGATGGAGGAGTGACCAAAGGAAAAAATTTCCAGATAGAGAGGAAGCTGGGTGCAAGGTGTCTTTTCAGGCAATGGTGCTGCATGTTGGGCAGAGGTGACTTGAAAGATCTTCTTGGGTCTCACTGGGATCCTGAGTGAAAAGGGATCCAAACACATCCGTGAGTGACTGCTGTGATCCTGACTAAGGGGACTCAGAAGTTGTGAATCTAAACTCCCAGTGGCTGTGAGAAAGAGAAATGGAATGATCACAGAAATGCTGAAGATATACAATGGGCAAGGAAAGGTAGAGGCACCTGAAAAGGGGGTATAGCCACTGGGGGTGGGGCATCCTAAAATAACTGCTGTTGGGAGGAAAAGGCTGTTCGGGCAGCCAATAAGAGAAATGTGAAGATGAAACATTAAATATCATTGCTGTTGGGTGTGGTGGGATGTGCCTGTAGTCCCAGATACTTGGGAGGCTGGGGCAGGAGATTGCTGGAGCCCAGGAGTTAGAGACCAACCTGGGCAATACGATGAGACCCCATCTGGAAGAAAAGAAAAGAAAGAAGGAAGAAAGGAAGAGAGAAAGAATGAACCATCATATATTATGTACACACTGTGATATGTCTTTCTGGTGGGGAAATTGGCAATGGATTGGTTGAT